TGGAGCCTTCTGGAAGTAGATCAATGTTATGGGATGGGAGCTGGCTGGTTCCGTGCCACAAGTGAAGTGTTGTACAACTGGCAATTTTGCCCATCTGGCTATATATAATACTACTTATGTTCCTGGGTTATAAATGTCATTTCCTAATTGGTTCTATCATAAAAACATGAATTTTTTTATTAAACTGCAAAAACTTTGTTTTTGCAGGACATCCTGCAGCACCTTTTGTTATCTTTTTTTAATGAATATCTCATATAGCCTCAGCCAATTCAACATAGTTTTTGTCAGCCACAAAATAAAGTTTCTGGTGTATAACAACTACTTTCAAAGTATGTACCACACAATTAAACAGGAAATAACATTTTCAAACCAGGAACAGATTTTTTTCCCCCTAGTTTTGTTACATAGTGATATTGATTGCCAAGAACAGAAGAACATGTCAGATCTGGGACTCTGTTTTCCCTGACATCCTTCCTTGATCAAGAAGCAATACATTAATCTCTGATTCTGCCTCCATCTCACATCTGGAGTTCACATGCCAGGAAGCGGACCCATTTTGGGGCTACACCACCATTGCTGATCCTGCTACCTACATGCTCACCTGATTTCTTCCTTGTAGTGCTGCAGCAGCCACACCACTGCCAACACAGCCAACATTGTAGCAACTAAGGCACAAAGCCTTACTTGCTATTGCTTAGTAACAACTAAGGCTTTGTACAGCTGCAGTATCTTCAGAGGACAAGTAAAGGGGCAGCAACAAACAGGAAAGGAAGAGATTGGTGAAGCATATAGGAGAGGAAGAGATGGAAGTATGACAGAGAATAATAGGAGAATGCAAAGAGCAAGAGAAGGCATGACAAAGTCTCAGTCACCATTTCTGAATTAAATTTGTATAGAAGCTTTAGGTTTATTAACTTGGATAGATAGTCTGCATCAAATTGTGTTTAATTCATTCTCTTGGAATCCATTTCTACATGGAAATACATTCTAGTGTTATAATGCTCCAAACTGCTGCTTATAGTATGGGTTGCATGAACGCTTACAGATAATTTTAAATAGTGCAGTTTAAATGTGCTCCCCGATTGCACAGTGGGTTAAACCGCCAAGCTATTGAACTTGCTGATCAAAAGGTTGGCAAGTCTGGGGAATGGGGTGAGCTCCCACTGTTAGCCCCAGCTTCTGCCAACCTAGCAGTTCAAAAATATGCAAGTGTGAGTATATCAATAGGTATCACTTCTGCGAGAAGGTAACAGTGCTCCATGCAGTCATGCTGGCCACATGGACTTGGAGGCATCTACGGACATCACTGGCTCTTCGGCTTAGAAATGGCGATGAGCACCACCCCCCAGAGTTGGACACGGCTAGATTTAATGTCAGGGGAAACCTTTACTTTTATCTTACAGTTTAAACAGTACAAGAGAACAGACAATTCTTCCAAAATCTTTATGATTCCAGTCTTCAGTGACTTTCTGGGTCTTAAAATGATAAGTTCTGATAAATAATAATGAAGAATTTGAGAACAAATGGTTTGCACTATGGGCATGTATTCTGACTAGAGGCAACAAAACAATACCAATTTCCTTCTTAGAACTATTTTTTCCTAGCCTGTAACAAAATGAACTTTCATAACTGTTCACAGTTTTCAATTGGTGAGATAAACAAGAAAAGTGGTTACAGAGTCCCAGCAGGGTGCAGATCTCGCCAGGGCCTTGTTTGGTTTGGATTCCAAATCAAACTTTAAAAAGCAATTATTGGATGCTAACTATGTGTTGTCAATTAATTTATCAAAATATACAAATTATATTTACTGTTAAAACAAAAATGCATTTCTGTCCTACCTGATAGTTATTGTCCCACTATAAAATAATGTTATATACCACTAACATTAACTCTGTTATGTCTGAATTCAATATTCAAGTGTTCTTTTAAAAATCTTAATCTAGATCTCTAGGACCTGTTGAGGATTCAATTTTGATTTGTCTTGGTATTCCAATCGTTCTTTCTGTTTTGTATCTATTGTGCTGGAATAGGTCAGGGAGGGAAGGGAGATTTTCTCTTACTTTTGGCTCCTATTTTAGGGATTTCATAAACTGAATTACAAAATGTCTATGCGTGATTTTGTATCCACTAGGTCTTTCCCTTCTTTTACATAACTAACGGCCGGACATGTGGCTTTGTTTGATATGTTACCTGGTAAAACTCCCGTGCCCTAAAGGACTTTACTGCCTATTTGCCCTTTGAAAAACTACTGCAGATTTTTTTTCAGTTGTTTATCCTCCTAGTGACCGATAGCTTTCATTGCTCACTTTGATGGACAATTTTTGATCTGTCCCTTTGCTGTGTGTGGCATTGGTACTGATAAGGGCTGGCCGCCAGTTTGTTTTCAAGTGCAATTCAAAGTGCAGATTATGACCTTTAGAGCCCCATACAGTCAGGTCCAGTCTATTTGGCTGACCACATCTCCTTGTACCATGAGTTCTTCAAGAGAGGCCTTTCTCTCAGTCCCACCTCCATCGCAAACTTTTTTGGTGGGAAAGAAAGAGAGGGCCTTCTCACTCAGCTGGAGCTTGCTTCTTCTCAGTTAAGCCAGAATGGCCGTGGGGAAGGCCCTGCTGTCCTGGTGGCAAGCTACAATGAGAGCGGTTTTTAATATTTTATTTTAATGTAATTAAAAAAAATTATGATGTTTTCAGTTGTTATTTTATCTGCTGTTGCTCATTCGTTCAGTCACTTCCAACTCTTAGTGGCCTGCTGTCCAAGGCACTCTCAAAATTTTCCTCCAACATCACAGTTCAAAAGCATTGATCTTTCTTCGTTCGGCCTTCCTTATGGTCTAGCTCTCACATCCATAGGTTACTCCTCTCAAGAAGTAAACGTCTTCCTGGCTGCAGTCTGCATCTGCAGTAATCTTTGTGCCTAGAAATGCAAAGTCTGTCACTGCCTCCACGTTTTCTCCCTCTTATTTTGTCAAAGGTGTTTATTTTGATATAATTGTTAATATGGTTTCTTTCCAGCAATTGAATGTTTGCCTTACATGTTGGAAATGGCCCTGAGTCCCTTTGGGGAGACAGGGCGATATGCAAATAAAGTTATTCTTATTCTTATTCTTATTGAAACAAAAGCACAGTATATCACAGCAAATAAGATCTATATGCTGGATTTCGTATCACTAAATCACAAGTTGAACACTTCCCAAGCATCTAGGACTGTGTGATGTATTTTTGAATGATGTGTGCAGATCCAAGTAAAGTGGCCTTTTGCAGTTGACAGATTATGGTTTTGTGGATGTTTATTGTTTCCGAATGCCGGCTGAGATCTTTTGGCACAGCACCTAGTGTGCCGATGACCACTGGGACCACCTGTACTGGTTTATGCTTGAGCCTTTGCAGTTCGATCTTGCAGTCTTGATAGTTTTTCCTCAATGTGACTGTCACCTGGTATGGTGACATCAATAATCCAGACTTTTTTCTTTTCCACAATTGTGATGTCTGCCGTGTTGTATTCCAAAACTTTGTCAGTCTGGATTTGAAAGTCCCACAGTATTTTTGCATGTTCATTTTCCATTATTTTTGCGGGTTTATGATCCCACCAATTCTTTGCTGCTGGCAGGTGGTACTTGTAACATAAGTTCCAGTGAATCATTTGGGCCACAGAGTTGTGTCTTTGTTTGTCGTCCGTCTGTGCGATTTTCTTGCAACAGCTGAGGATATGGTCCATGGTTTCATCAGCTTCCTTGCACACTCTGCATTTTGGGTCATCAGCTGATTTTTCAATCCTGGCCTTAATTGCATTGGTTCTGATGGCTTACTCCTGGGCTGCAAGAATCAGGCCTTCTGTCTCCTTCTTCAGGGTTCCATTTGTGAGCCATAACCAGGTCTTCTTCTTGTCAACTTTTCCTTCAATTTTGTCAAGGAACTGCCCATGCAATGCTTTGTTGTGCCAGCTGGCAGCTCTGGTTTGGAGTGCAGTTTTCTTGTACTAACTCTTTGTCTGCTGTGCTTTGAGAAGTTTCCGATTATTCACTTCAATTAAAGCAGGTTCTTGGCTTTCCTTGACATATTCTGCCAGGGCATATTTTTCTTCTTCGACAGCTTGCTTTACTTCTTCTTCTTCTTCTTCTTCTTATTATTATTATTATTATTAAGGCTCCTTCACACAGAAGAATTAATTTTGAAATGAGTACACGTATAGTTTTGATGTATATAGTATTTTTCAGTGTTTTCGAGACTTCCTCCTTTCCAGCAATAGTAAATGGAAGTGCAGTTTAATAGGTGTGCAACTGCTCACTTAAGATTCTGTACATTTGTCTAGAACAGTGGTTCTCAATCTGTGTGTTTCCAGATGTTTTGGCCTTTAAGTCCCAGAAACCCTAACAGCTGGTAAACTGGCTGGGATTTCTGGGAGTTGTAGGCCAAAATACTTGGGAGCCCACAGGTTGAGCACCACTGGTCTAGAAAGTACCAACTGGGTTGGTTCAGTTCACAGTGGACAAAAGCATATTTTCTTCTTTAAGAGGACATGAATATTTGCCTTTGTCAAATCTATGATTTTGGTTTGAACATATTATCAATTTCATTACATAGATTGTACTGGTAGATAGTGATATCATGAAAACTTTGTTTCAACCAAGTTCCTCCCATTGAAAAGTACGCACAATATTTGCCACAAGTGGAAAACACTGACCATATCATTCTATTACCTGATAACCCCAATTTTCTCCTTTTCCTATCAGTGCATGTATTGTACCTTATCGGGTCTTAATCTCTTTATAAACATGATTATTGCTTTTAATTGAAGGTCAATAAAATGAGAACATTTAAACACACTTAAGGGTGTTTATATTGTGAATGAAGGCACTATAGGCAATGTGAACCAATTAATTTTAAGAGTGCAAATATCTAGGGTATAAAAGCAAAGGCTGAAGAATCAAATCATCAGGGCAGGTTCTGCTGGGGTCCAAGAAACTCTTTAGGTGTTGTCTGTGGAAGAAACCAGGCATCATGAGGTGGTTGATGTTGATGCTGGCTTGCTTCCAGTTGTCAGAGGGATTGGTGACGTAAGTGCTCTTGCAGAGTATTCATAATTATTAGTAAAATAATGTGTAAAGTGTGTATCTGTCTGTCTGCAAATCAATGGTCTTAATCACAAAGTAATCAACTGGGTATGTTATTTAAGGGGATGGCATGGGGTTTGAGACTCAGTCCCCAACTGCATTGAATTCTTTCCAAATAAACAGATTAGAGCTCTATGTTTTTGCTCTAATATTTACATTTATGCGCTGATTTGACCACACTTGAAGTTTCCACTTAGGATAATTATTTTGTGCAAGCTGGAGACTTATCAGAAAACTTCAGCTTTTAGAGGGACAGTAGGCCCCTTGATGGTGTCATTTCTAAGGGAGAAGAAAAAGTAAATGGGAAGCAATAATTTTTCCTTGATCAAATGTGAAGAACAATTCCAGTTACAATGCTGCAATGTGAGCAAACATGATCACATTTGATTTGTGGCCATTTGTCTGGTCATGATTTTTTTTCATGTCAGGAGCAACTTGAGAAACTGCAAGTTGCTTCTGGTGTGAGAGAATTGGCCATCTGCCCAGGGAACACCAGATATTTTACCATCATGTGAGAGGCTTCTCTCATGTCTCAGCATGAGAAGCTGGAGCTGACAGATGGGAGCTCACCCTGCTCCTTGGATTCAAACTGCTGACTTTTTGGTCAGCAGTCCTGCTGGTGCAAGGGTTTAACTCATTGCGCCACCAGGAGCTCCTACTCTGTTCATATTCATCTGGTCATGATGAATATTATCCAAGGGATGTTTAAATAGAAAATTTAAACACACACACACTTTAACCTACAATCTACTTTTTAATTCCTTGCAGAGTCCCTCTGAAAAAGGGCAAGTCTATTCGGGAGACGATGAAAGAGAAAGGTGTGCTGGAAGATTTTCTGAAACATCATAATCATGATCCTGCCATGAAGTACCACTTCAATGAGTACAATGTTGCTTATGAACCAATGGCATACATGGATGTGAGGCCCTCTTTCTTTCCTGGTTTTCATGTCTGTTACATTCTGTCTAACAAAGATTTATTTTTCTCACCAAAGCAGAGTCACACAAAAACGTAGTTACAAAGGAAAACAACCTGTCTCTGACACCTTTTGCATACAAATCCCTATGGGTATGCTCACATGATGCACTGCTCATTTTGGCTGCAACATATAAGAACTCGGATGCAAAGGCTGTGCATCCAGTAGCTTTTGTAAGACGGATTCCAAATTGTCTTCACACATCCTTTATTTCTTGGTATGTGTCAGAGGCACAGCTTTTGATATGTGATCATACTCTCATATGCATTGAATCAGCTGTGCCAGTAATGTGCCCCTTGGGCTGAGTTTTCTTATTGACTATCCTAAGTTGAATCAGCCAGCAGTACACTTCTACTGCCAGTCAGAAAACGACATTCCCTTTATGATAAGATTCCTCAGCAAAGTCTTTAATGGATTGCTGTGAAGTTTTCAGGATGTATGGCCATGTTCCAGTAGTATTCTCTCATGATATTTCATCTGCATCTATGGCTGGTATTTTCAGAGGTTCTGTGGAATGTCCAAGGTGGGAGAAAGAACCCTTGTCTGTTGCAGCAATTGTGAATGTTGCACAATTCTGTAGCACTGAGTAACCTTGAAGCTGCCAAGTCAATCGGTGAGGGTATCTGTATAGAGGTAGTCTGGGCTTTGTTGCCTAGAGACATCCTTTGTTTGGGAGGTGTTAACAGGAACTTTTTGTTTACTGTCTGCAATTCTCTGATTCTGAGTGGTGTTCTTTATTTACTGTCTTGAGTCTGATATTTGGAAACATTGGAAACCAGATTTTGTTCTTTTTCATGGTTTCCTCCTTTCTGTTGAAATTGTCCACATGCTTGTGGATTTCAATGGCTCCACTGTGTAGTCTGACACAATAGTTGTCAGAGTGGTCTAGAATTTCTGTGTTCTCAAATAATATTCTGGTTCCAGGTTGATTCTTTCATGTTTTCCACTTTCACATTATTGTTTCCTTCTTTTTTGTTTATTTAAATGTCAGAATTGCACAGCTCCACAGGAACAGAAATATTCTATTACCTTGATAAGACAGAGATTATGAAGGTTACTTCACTCATGACCACTTTTAACATATGAGATTTTTAAGGGAAGACAGGGAGGCAGGCATGTGGCCAGGAGAGGTGAGGGGACGGAAGAAATAGAGGCATATATTTGAGAGACAAGGCCTGAGGGACACAAGCAAAGTCAGAAAGACAGGTGTGTCCCCAGGAGAGGAGGTATGGGGACAGTTCCAGGTACCCTGTTTGGAGTCCCAATCCAGAAACAGTGACATAGGGGAATATCAGAGGGATTGGGAGGAAGCATCTACTATGAGATCAGTCAAAGCATGGAGCCTCCGGTGGCACAGTGGGTTAAAGCCTTGTGCCAGCAGGACTGCTGACAGAAAGATTGGCGGTTCGAATCCAGGGAGCAGGGTGAGCTCCTGTGTGTCAGCTCCAGCTTCTCATGAGGGGACATGAGAGAATCCTCCCATAGGATGGTAAAACATCTGGGCACCCCTTGGGCAACGTCCTTGCAGTTGGCCAATTCTCTCACACCAGAAGTGACTTGCAGTTTCTCAAGTTGCTCTTGACATTAAAAAAAAGTCAAAGCATGTTATTTGAATAGGAAGGAGAGAACTGTGTGTGTGATCTGACCCATTTGCACTACAGAATTATAATGCTAATATTCTACGTTTAGCTGACATTTTGGGACTTTCAGTTTAGGGAAGAGTATTTATCATTCTTATCCAAAATACTCCAGTACTTCACCAAACTATAAACCACAGGATTCCATAGGATGGAATCATGGCAATTACTGTGGAATAATAGTTCTATAATTCTGTAATGTGAATGGTCTCCTGATGAATCATCACATGTGATTCTTCATTGGAATGGGAGTGGGGAGCTGCCAATTTCATCAATCCTCTGAGGAAATTACAGTTTTTCCAAGATACTGGTAATTGGCCCTCTACTCTAGATGTAGTTCCATATCCTCCCACTCCTGATCCCCTATTGGATCTTGGGTGTAACTTTTGTCATCATATTATCCCTGCTCTCTCTGTCCCAAGTAAAAAAAAAAATATCCTGGGCTTCTGAAAAGATGAAAGGCAAGAGCAACAACAAGCACTTTTTTAAATGATTTTAATGACCCAAGCCTGCAGCTCTTGCATGTAATGCTGAAGTGCTAAATTCATGCAAGCACCTTTTTGGAATCCACACTGTGGTTTTCCTTTTCTTCTAGGCATCGTACTATGGGCAAATCGGCATTGGAACTCCAGCTCAGAACTTCCTGGTGCTGTTCGACACTGGCTCGTCCAATCTCTGGGTTCCTTCCATCTATTGCAATACCGAGGCATGCAGTAAGTAACCAGACCCCAACTTTTTATACAGTTTTATCTAACTGCAGCTACAATGAAGCCTGATACTGGAATGCAGCTCCATAAAATTATTGCTTCAGTAACACTGAACATGGGTCTTTTTGGAATATTTACCATATATAGGAACTTCTAGATACAATCTTTGGTCTCTGTGATTTTATTGAACAGGAAGTATATAAACAAACAGAAAATGATAGAAATGCTGTGCAATATAGAGCAGGTGTTTTGAACAATAAGACATCTCCATCTACCACATCAGCTAATAATCTTCTCTGTCTGTATGGGAAAAGCTGTGAAAGTATTACAGTTGATGTATTATGGCTAGCCAGGAACAGGCTAGGAATACATGTGAAATTTCAGTACTGATGTTTCTTTGTTAGGAATAATTGCTGCACTTTATTGGATTTCTGTTGCTCAGGGACACTAGTTCTCTCAGCTATCAATATAAGTGTGCTAGCTGCTAAGGCTGTAAACTGGAGGTCATCTTCTGATTAGCTGCAGAAAAGTTCAGAACTAACTGTGTGCCTCATTTATAATAGCATTTTATTTATAAACCTGCACTTCTCCCCAAGCTTAATCTGAGCATATACTTGTAAATTGCATCACTTCTACTACATGTTTAATAATCTGCTGACAAAAGGCCTAGAACAGTGGTTCTCAACCTGGGGTTCCCAGATGTTTTTGGCCTTCAACTCCCAGAAATCCTAACAACTGGTAAACTCTCTGGGATTTCTGGAAGTTGTAGGCCAGAAACATCTGGGGATCCCAGGTTGAGAACCATTGGCCTAGAATTAATGACAATACGAGTAAACGGTGGCAATTAGCAACATTACGAAGTGCATCAGGAAAGTTTGTTTTTTTATCATGACAGAAGCAACTTGAGAAACTGCAAGTTGTTTCTGGTGTGAGAGAATTGGCTGTCTGCAGAGACATTGCCAAGGGGACGCCCAGATGTGTCACCATCCTGTGGGAGGCTTCTCTCATGTCCCCCCATGGGAAGCTGAAGCTGACGGATGGAAGCTCAGCCTGTCTTGCAGATTCAAACTGCTGACATTCTGGTCAGCAGTTCAGCTGGCAAGTGAGTTTAACCCATTGAGCCACCATAGTTTTCTTGGAACAGTAGGAAAGAGAACAGTTACCCCCGTTTGGCTTACTTTTGACCTCATCATCTTGGGCTAAAATCGATGGCATGACCTGATTTTAGTCCAGATCACCCACGGAGCTGGCCAGCTCCCATTCCATGACACCACGCTGGCTCATGGGTGAAGGAAGGCAGATCTGGCACATGCCGCAGGCAGGGCAACATGAGCGAGCTCCCATGTTACCATAAAGTCTGTGGGGGAAGCCATGCACACCACGCATGCTCCCCCCCATGATTGTCCTCCCTTGGATCTGGGTGATGCGGAGCATGGGGCACTGGATTCCCTACACCCTACAGTGAAGCAGAGTACCACTGCTGCTGGCCGCTGTAGGTATGATAAGGTTGGTAGTCCCAATAAGTAATAATAATAAACTTTATTTCTACCCTGCCACCATCTCCCCGATGGGGACTCGGAGCGGCTTACATGGGGCCAAGCCCGGACAACATAACACAGCAATAAAATCAAAACATATACAACAGACAACAACAACATCATCAAAGTGACCTTAAAAAGGAAAAAAAAATCATAAAATAAACATTTCAATAAACACAATCACAGTAGTGATAACAATGGGCGGGCCACATATTCAGGATAAAAACAGTTAACAAATTATGATGAGATAAAATAGGAGCAGAGCATTTATATGAAACTCATAAAACACACAGGGTTGTGAGGCTGAACATCCTATTTGGAGGCACAAACTTCATTGGCAGAAAACATTGAGGGGTGCAAAATATCATACTGTGCACCTACTCACCAAAGGCGCAGCGGAAAAGCCAGATTTTGAGGTTCCTTTTAAACCCTGTCTCCCCAGCAGTGATTTCTATGAGAACAAATTTTAGCCTAGCCATCAACTGAGACATGTAAGCAAATTCATCAAAATAAATTGTCACAAGTCAAAAAATCATTAAAAAGTCAGCAGTATTTAACTAAGCATGTGTGTATTAGGCAATAGGCATACTATTGTTAATGCTGCAAATAATATATATTAGTGTTGGTAAGGATGGCCAGGCAAGTTCACATCTGACTCCATCTAGAACCAGTCATTATCGCAGTTGCTTGCAAGCATGGGCTTTGATCTTGGAGCCCTTTGAGATTGAGATGGAACACTAATTAACACAGTAGCTTTCATTGAGAGAATATTGCTGGCAAAACTTACCTACTCTGTATTTGGCAGTCTCTCTTTTGTAGACAATAGATACAATTAATATAAAAGTCTAATAAAAACAATACAAGATTTTGACACATATCTCTCAGTTCGTATTAAATATGATCTCTGTCTTAGGGTATATCGGTTTCTTGCCCATTGAGTCACAAATGCATCCTAGTCACAAATTACTATTTATTTTATGGAAGCATTGAGTGCATCTGGTGTGGCTTTAAAATGGTTCATATTACACTGGCGAAGACTGGACAACATGGAGGGATAATGAAATGCTTGTAGCTTGTGGTTATTTGTTTTGAACCTTTTGGAAAGGTAGGGCACAATTATAGTAAATAGATTTTACTATATTTTTCCACTAGCCCGTCATGCCAGATTCAACCCCAGCCAGTCTTCTACCTACTCCACCAATGGGCAGACCTTCTATCTGGAGTATGGCAGTGGAAACCTTGCAGGATTTTTTGGCTATGACACTTTGACAGTAAGTGCTTCTATGGTTCTTTTCTTAATGCTAGAAAATAGTCCTCACATTATATTTTTGTTAATGGACATCCTTTGTTTGCAGAGTGCCATGGGCTTTACAATTTAAGACTGAACTGTACATGCAGTGTGAAATTACATATCACATTTTTAAATGCTAAAATAAGTACACCTGACCACTAATTGGATTAGATCAGTGCATATGGCTGATGGAGAATTGAAATTTCTCCAAATCAGGACTGCACATGCTTATTTTAGAATAATAAACATGTGATCTTTAGCTGCATGTTGCCTGCTTTAGCATAGTATGAAATTTGACCCTGAATGCCAGTGTTATTTGTCCCAGTTAACATGTAAGATGCAGCCTTACAAACTTGAGGTCAAGGCTGTTCAGAGAACAAACTTATGAAAGCTGCCTATTTCTCTCAAATTTAAGCTCAACTTTTGAATATGAAGTTCCACACTCACTTTTTGCATTTGAATTGTAGAATTGACTAGCTGGCTTTTATTAAGTTTTCTCAGGAATCAAATACGAATTTTTATTACTTATTAGCTGTTGGATATTGCAGAATCATAGAACAGGAAGAAACCACAAGGGCCAAGCCCCTGCCATGCAGAAGTAACACACAATCAAAGCATTCCTAACAGACGGCCATCTAGCCTCTGCTTAAAATCCTCCAGAGAAAGGGACCCCACCACACTCCCCAGCAGCATATTCTACTGTGCTTACCATCCTGATGTTTAAATTGATCCATTGGTCTGTGTCCTAGTCTTTGGAGCAGCAGAAAACAACAATAATTACAAAATTGCTATCAGTATATGCTATGTATCAAGTGCTCTCAGAGGCTACTTTTGCATGCTAGCCCTCAAATACTACCAGATACTAAATTGTACTACGTATCAACTATCAAATATACAATATTAGGAGAAGAATTTGGGCAAAATTCCATGTCTCAACTCTTCATGCTCAACCTGTCTCCAACAATAACCAGCAAGGTATTTCTGGAGTCTCACAAGCAGATCATAATGATGATGAACACCTTCAGTTGAAAATACACCCTAGAAAAACTCATTTGGAATATAATTTGCAGCAACCCCCCCCCCCCATTAGAATGGTAAAATTTGCCTGCAGAATCTGGAGATATTTTAATCTTTTAACTCTTTCTGACATTTTCTCTCCATCTTTTTAGCTGCAGAACATTGTCGTCACTAAGCAAGAGTTTGGTCTGAGTAAAAACGAACCTGGTGCTAACTTCATTTATGCAGAGTTTGATGGTATTCTGGGCATGGCCTACCCCTCTCTGGCAGTTGGTGGTGCTACTACTGCATTAGAGGGGATGCTGCAGGAAAACTTGCTATCAGAGCCAATCTTTAGCTTCTACTTGAGTCGGTAAGGAACACAAGCTTTCTTTCCCAAGATATTATGCCTTGTGCTGTATAATTTCCGCATGAAGCTAATGTGTGAACTCATTAGTAAATGAGTATCATCACCAAGCTGATGACACACAGCTCTACGTCTCCTCATCATAAAAAAAAGTCTAATGTTGGTGCCTCATTTCCTTTCTCTTCTCCCACTTCTTTCAGGCTTTTTATGCTGTAAGAGACTAATATCACTACTCCTTCATTAATAGTTTAACAAAGATAATAATAAAATTTTCTCATCTCTTTTTTGAAAATATGAGATTCACTAAAAAGCTGATATGCTTCTAATTATTCCAAGTATTAGTTGAATTTAGAAATGACTGCCTATTCAACACAGATATTCTTACATTTCTTAAAAGTAACCTAGGCCGGATCCACACTGCCATATAATCTAGCATCTGATCCCAAATTATCTGCTTTGAACTAGATTATATGTGTATACACGGCCATATAATCCAGTTCAAAGTAGGTAATCTGGGATCAGAAACTGAATTATATGGCAGTGTACATGGGGTCTTAGGCCCCTTCTACACTGCCATATAATCCAGATTATCTGCTTTGAATTGGGTTATATCTTTCTAAACTGTCATATAATCCAGTTCAAAGCAGATAATCTGTAGAAGGGGCCTCTGTTTACACACACACACCTCATACACAATTCCTTTATATAGGCAGTCCCCAAGTTACAAACAAGATAGGTTCTGTAGGTTTTGTTCTTAAATTGAATTTGTACGTAAGTAGGAACAAATACATTGTAAGTGTAACTCCAGCCAGATATAAGTATGTGTGTAATTTGGATAGCACAGGGAAGAGTTAACACCTGAATTGTGTCTGTTTTGTTGTCTGTGCTCCTGTCCAGAAGACTTTACCTCACTTTCTATCCCTGTGATAATAGGATTTTCAAAAATTTCGCTTGTTATGGAACAAGGATTGGAGATAAAGTTTCAGTGGGGACATTTCCCCCGAATGATAACTCTTTCAGAGTGAATTTCTTTTCCTAGGGGTAGATTTCTTTCACTACCTTTGTCTTACCCTTGTTCTTAACTATGAGTCATCTGTAAATCAGATGTTTGTAACTTTGAGACTGCCTGTACTATGTGCTTTATTTCTAAGATTCCTGAACAATTGGTAAACTATGAATGCTTAACCTACTTTTTGCGTTTGCAGCCAACCAACCTCACAATATGGTGGTGAGGTCACGTTTGGAGGTGTAGATACTCGTCTTTACTCTGGACAGATCTACTGGGCTCCCGTCACCCAAGAACTTTATTGGCAGATTGGAATTCAAGAGTGAGTAGACCTTATTCAGCAAAAATATATACAAGGATAATGTGAAGAATTTCCCTGATTGTTTGCAGAAGGCTCAAATTCTGAGTTCATAAGAAAGCCTACTTCAATTTCAACCTGAACTTTCAAGGCATGCTTAGAAAGGAAGACAAACTGATAAAATTATTGTCAAAATACTTGTAATATAAGCTTCTCTGGGATTTCTTCAAAGAAAGTGATATTAATATTATAGCCCTAGAATCAGAAGGTCAGGATTAAGTTGACCTCTTCTGATGTTACTATGACCCCTCCCACACAGATGAATAAAATCCCACATTATCTGCTTTGAACTGGAATATATGACAGTGTGGACTCAGATAACCCAGTTCAAAGTGTATATTGTGGGATTTTCTGCCTTGATATTCTGGGTCATATGGCTGCGTGGAAGGGCCCTGTGTCTTTGCCTTCAGAAAATGTGCACACTCTAGTGCAGTGGTTCTCAACCTGTGGGTCCCCAGGTATTTTGGCCTACAACTCCCAGAAATCCCAGCCAGTTTACCAGCTTTATCTCAACTTTTTATTATTACATAATGAAAGGTGTTTGTGGCTCCACTCTAGAAAGACAACAACTCCCCTAAGGAAGAGTACACTGTATACAAAGATCAAGGAATTACTATTAAGCAATAAGTAGATAAAGCATGACATGCAGCTGACCAATAAGTAAGAATGCCAGTGAAATTGGTCTTCCTGGTGTTTGAATCAGTTATCCCCAGTTACTTGATCCATATTTCATGGGGAATACATATCCCTGTGACATCTCCTAGTTTCCAATGCATCAGGATTGGAATACCGTATATATTTGAGTATAAGCCGACCCAAATATAAGCCAAGGCACCTAATTTTACCACCAAAAAAACCCCCTGGGAAAACGGATTGACTCATGTATAAGCTGAGGATGGGAAATGCAGAAGCTTCTGGTAAATTTCAAAATAAAAATAGATACCAATACAATTACATTAATTGAGGCATCAGTAGGTTAAATGTTTTTGAATATTTACATCAAACTGTAATTTAAGATACGACTGTCCAACTCTGATTAAACCATTAGTCTAACCTTCTTCAATGTAAAATGTGCTTACGTATTCTGCCAATAATAATAGAGAGAGCAAAATAATAAATGTAGTAGTAGTAGTAGTAGTAGTAGTAGTAATAATAATAATAATAGAGTAAAATATTGGAAATGTAATAACAGTAATAATAGAGTAAAATAATAAATGTAATAATAATAAAATGATAAATGTAATAATAATAATAATAATAATAATAATAATAATAATAATAACAACCTTGACTTGAGCATAAGCCTTAAAAAAGGGCTGAAAAACTAGGCTCATACTCGAGTATGTACAGTATTATTTTCACCCATGATACAATCAAGACGGGCATTTGGAGTTTTCAATGTGTCCCTCCTTTTTAGGTTTTCTATTGGAGGACAAGCAACTGGTTGGTGCAGTCAAGGTTGCCAGGCTATTGTGGATACTGGGACCTCTCTCCTCACCGTTCCCCAGCAGTACATGAGCAATTTCTTGAATGCGGTGGGTGCTCAGCAGAATGGACAGGTAGGTGGGATCTTATATTTTTTAAAAGCTAAAAGAGTCACACAATGAATGGGGCTGGTTCTAAATAGAGATTGGCCATACTGTGTGTGTAGATGACCTCAAAGTCTCCAAGGACCTTTGCATGGAGGCCTGCTGTATTAATTCATCTTTGTGAGTTGTATATTGTTCCAGAAGTCTGTTCCTTTGGGAAATTAACAATTTACTGCATTCCTCTTTCACAGTATGTTAATTGCAACACTGTTCAGAACCTTCCCACCATCTCCTTCACCATCAATGGAGTTTCCTTCCCTCTGCCTCCCTCTGCCTACATCCTCAATGTATGTATCATGGGCTTGCATGTTAACATTTTTGATGGTTTTTTAAAGCATTCAAACAGTAAAGAGAACTAGAGACAGGGTTTTGGAAGAAGAAAATTGTTTCCCCTATTGCTTCTGGTGCTATAATTATTATTGTTGTTGCTACTATAATTCTCATTGTGCAACACAATCCCTATACCTGCTGTTTTACCTATAAGCATTTGACAAAATATGTGATTTCTGGAAATTTTCTAGATCTTTCCATGTAATTTTATGGTATGTTTCTGCCAGAAGCTACCATAGAGTTCTGTTGGTGAATCTAGCAAATTCCTTGAAATGATACCTCTCCAAGAATTTAAAAGCCCCTCCAGGATAATTCTATGGTAACTTCCAGCAGAAGTCATCCACTTCAAAGGGGTTCTCTGTTATCCACAGTTTCCTTTTCCCACTTGTAAGTTCCAGAAGTATCCCCTGTGGATATGGAGGTCATACTATAAATGTAACATGACTATAATGATGTACACCCTCTTCTCCATAAGAGCTCAAAGTAGCCAACAAACCTCATAAAATGCACAGTAAAAACCACAAATTACAAATATCTAAAAAAAAATACTGTCTAAAATAACAAACTATACATGTCTACTTACTAAAACACAATTAAAAAGTGCAAGAAAGCAGCAATGAAAGACAGAATCAACACTTGCTTATTCTTCAAAAGCTGGCAGAAACATGTATATTTGTTGCAAATTGCCCAAAAGGCACACATTTATGAAACTGGATCTGTAAGCAAAGGAAGTTACATAATTGTATGCCATTGAGCAGCCTACAAGTTTCCTGATATGAAATCTGCCTTTGTTGTCACTGGGCTTCCTTCTTTCTGCCTCCCACTCACCAAATCTCTTGCTATTTATTATTTCACAGGAAAATGGCTATTGCACAGTTGGGATTGAGGCCACATACCTTCCTTCCCAAAACGGACAGCCTCTCTGGATCCTTGGAGATGTCTTCCTCAGGGAGTACTATTCCGTCTATGACATGGGCAATAATAGGGTTGGCTTCGCAACTTCTGCCTAAGCCTGAGCAGGAATGGATTCTTTAAAACATGCTTGGCGTCCTCAGTTAGACTGACTTTCCTTTATGTCCTTACAGAAATGGAAGGAGTTTTTTAAAATCCCACACACCCCTCTGTTCTCCTTCCTTCTTTCCTTCCTTCCTTCTTCTTTTAAAGCTTGTATTGGACAATTCTCTTTGAATTCTGTATTCCTGGAGCCCTGAATTCCTTTTTCCTTGAATCAATGGCCAATACTCTAATATTTGTGGCAGACCAGAAAATAAATGGTTAAACGTAAGATACATGTGTTCAAGTCTACTCATTGGTTGTTTTGCTATTCATAGAGGTCATTAAAGAGAAACTATGTTAACTGGACTCTGTACACCAATAATAATGACAACGACAACAACAACTTTATTTTTATACCCTGTCTCCATCTCCCCGAAAGGACTTGGGGTGGCTTACATGGGGCCATGCCCAATAACAGAGTTAAAACATAGCACTTTAGAGTGCATCACAACAATTTCAAACAACATAAAACAACATTATACAAAATATAAAACAAGCATCAAAACCAACAGCAATAACATAATTCAAGCCTCGACATGGGTGGACAGCCTGGTGCACAACAGATTGGAGGATAGGGCCAATGAGTAAAGTGCATAGGGCATGTAGCAGCGTTAAGGATAAGAGCAATATAAAAGAGGTCAGCTCCAATTCTGGATAAAACAGTAGTAAAGTCCATAGTCAAATTTTTAGGTCCTAACAAGGGACAATTGTCAAAGGAAATGTTTACTCAAATGCACAGTGGAACATCCATGTCTTTAGATCTTTTCGAAAAGTGGATAGGGAGTGGGCTAGCCTGATCTCCCTGGGAAGGGGATTTCAGAGCCCGGGGTGACAACCAAAAAGGCCCTTTCTCTCGTGCCCACTAACCAGGCCTATGTTAGAGGTGGAAACAAGAGAAGGGCCTCCCAAGAAGATCTCAGGGATCATGTGGGTTTGTAAGGGAAGATGCGGTCTCGAAGATAGGCAGGTCCCAAACCGTTTAGAGTTTTACAGGTGATGACCTGTATCTTGAATTGGGACTGGAAACTTATGGGAAGCCAGTGGAGCTGTTTGAACAGGAGGGTTGATCACATCTAGATTTAATCTTTTGGCTAAACAATAGCAGTTGTGCAGACACACCTCAGTTTCCACTAATAGCATTAGGAAGAATTTCATGACAACAAGAGCTGTCCAACAGTGGAATGGATTGCTTCATGGGTGGGAGTTCTCAAAGAGGTTGGCTCTTCTTTGGCTATTTTTGAACCGCTGTTGGACACTCATCTCTTGGGAATGCTTTAACTGTTGGATTCCTGCTTAACAAGAGATTGGACTAGCTGGCCCTTGAGGTTCCTACCAATAGTATGATTCCTAGGATTCTTTAAATATATGGGAAAGGGGGAAATCTTCAAATATTCAAGTCAGGCTCTAGAAGAGGGGTTATCAACCTGTGGGTCCCCAGGCATTTTGGCCTACAACTCCCAGAAATCCCAGCTAGTTTACCAGCTGTTAGGATTTTGGAGAGTTGAAGGCCAAAACATCTGGGGACCTACAGATTGAAAACCACTGCTCTAGAAGGTAATATGCTCAGTTCAACATATATTTATTTAGAACATTTCTATTCCACCCTTCTCACCCCGAAGGGGACTCAGGGTGGAGCACAACATACAAACAGTAAACATTCAATGGGAATATAAATAAATTATACGCATACATAAACATTAAAATCATTTATCTCGACATTGTATAAAACTACCTCGATCATCTGCATCAACTCTAGTTGGCATGGCAAGGTTTCCTATTGCTGCCTTATTGCACTGTCCCAAAAGCTTGGTCCCACAGCCAAGCTTTTACCATCCTTCTAAAGGACGGGGGGGGGGGGGGGGGGGAATGATATACCAGAACTGTCTATTGGACTGCTGACAGCAGTGATTATACCAGGAAAAAAATGGGGCGACAAAAAAATTGGGTAGTTTTCAGAACACCATGTCATGCTCTTTTATTTGGAAGTGTCCCTAGCTGGAAGCAGAAATAACTGATTTATTTTTTATGTCCTAGGGCTTTTTAAATACAAAATCTGTTTTTTACTCAGAACTGCCTCTCTGTGTTTACGTGCCTTCAACTTGCTGGCTGACCCAGGCCCCTTCTACACTACCATATCATCAAGACTATCAAAGCAGATAATACACATTAACTGCTTTGAACTGGGTTATATGAGTCTACACTGCCATATAATCCAGTTCAAAGCAGATAATCAGGATTTTATATGGCAGTGTAGAAGGGGCCTCTGTGGCCCCATGGTTTCTGTAAGAAGGAATGCTTAGAGCGGGGTTTGCTAGTTCTTTCCTATGATATATGGCCAACAGAACTGGTATTCATTGTAGATTCCCATGCAACTACTAACCAGGCAGAGTTAATCCTGTCTAGCTTCCAAGATCAGACAGGAGTCTTTTGCTTTTAAGGTATTTGTCTCTGTTCTTGGATTAAACACATATGTCCTTTGATCAGTAAAAACAGAGACACTAGGCAGTATTTTATATTAACAAAGCTGCAAGTATTTTTAGATGCTGTTATTCATCAAACCATTTGCGTAAAGAAGCCTGATGTCTCTGCATTTCCTTTGGCAGATGGGGCAGCAATCTGCAGCCTTATGAGACAGAGGAAGTTACGGGAGGATACAGATTATGTATCACAGTATTGCCACCTGCTGGGCAGTGTTTTCCTTGCCCGACTAGAACTATGATTCTAGTATGCTGGACATAAGGCTAATTCGCCAGTAATAGCCAATGCTTAAGAAGGGTAGGCCTCATCTGCCCACAAGCTATGCCTGAGAGTTGGAAATCATGCCCCAGTCTCATATACATATACAAACCAGGTTCTATAATCATAATAGCTGTGAGTATCGGTACATGGTAAAGAAAAGGTATTGATAATAAACTGAGAAGCACATCATTTTGTCCTCTATTATATCACACATTCCAGGATTAAAACCTAGACTTTGAAAAAGGCTTCAGAATATTGTGTATTGTGTATGTGTTTTTATGCTTTTTAATGGAATATTGCTGCTTGTCGTTGTGTTGTAAACTGCGTTGAGTCGCCGATTTAGGCTGAGAAACGGCGGTATATAAGCACAGTAATAAATAATAAATAAGAATATAACCTTGATTCAAATTAAGCAGAAAAAGGAATGGCTAATGTTTAAATAAGCTTTGGGGAAACCCCCATTCTTTGAGCTCATATGATTGGAAAAGACCTCAAGGGCTATCTAGTCCAATCCTCTGCCATGCAGGTGGAAGACACAATCAAAACACCCCCAACAGATAACCATTCAGCCTCTGCTTAAAAACCTCAAGAGAAGAAGTCACCACCCTGAGAGGCAGCATATTTCTCTGGCAAACTGTTCTTATTATCAGGAATTTATTTGTAATGTTTAGATGGAACCTCCTTTCCTGCAGTTTGAATCCATTGCTCTGTATCCTAGGGCCCTTCCACACAGCCACATAACCCAAAATATCAAGGCAGATAAGCCACAATATCTGCTTTGAACTGGGTTATCTGAGTCCACACTGACATACAATCCAGTTCAAAGCAGATAATGTGGGATTTTCTACAGCTGTGTGGGTCTTCAGAGCAGCAGAAAACAAGTTTGCCCCATCTTTAATTTGACCTTTTTTTCAAATATAGATACAATCATAGATTTGGAAGAGACCACACAGGTCATCCAGTCCAGAGTCCCTTGCCAGCATAATCAAAGCACCTTCTAACAGATGGCTATTCAGTCTCTATTTAGATGATGATGGACTGATGGACTGCAACCCCCATCATCCCCATCCATTCAGAATGCTGTCCAAGGCTGATGTTAGTTGGAATCCAACACTTGAAAGGTTCCAAATTCCATAGCCCCAATTTAATTTATTGGTTACTACTTCTAGCACACACAGGCTCCTTTTCCCACTCGTAGGAGGGATTACATAAGCAGGATCAAGCAGGGTCACATGGATTACCCACCCCTCTCTCATGCCTATGGTGGAAATATTATCTTCAGCTATCCAAGGAGTCATCCAACATGGAACTCCTATTGAGTGTCTCAAGTTACTCCATAAAACAGGGGATGTGACTTGGCAATAGTTATCTCTTATGTGGAAATCTCTACATATATACATTAGTGCACTTTGAAAGCACCAAGTTTAACATGGAACTCATCATCTGAATATGCAGACAACAAATAATTGTTTTTGCTTTCTACAAATATCAGTGGTAGTGGTTGACATGCTTTCAGTATTGGTGGGGAATAGCCACATGGGTAGCTAATCCAAATGTGCCCATCCTCCCACATTCTTCCAGCATATCACTAAGGAAAGATGATCCTCCCAATTAGTTCTGTCCATTTTCAGTATTGGCAACCTGCCTATGGTGGCAATCATGAATTTCTGGTATATTCCCACTCAGTATTTCAATGTTTCATTATTTAAAAAATGCCAATGGAAAGTGCATTAGCTGTAGCAAAAATTCTTCTTTTCACCCTAGAAGTTGTATTACCCCCAAATCACCACAAATGTTCAATAGTATTTTGTTTGATTGGTGCACATATTTATGGATGGTATCTATTGGAATAAAAGCAGTAAGAATATTTATTTAGCTACTGAAATGAATGAGATAGTATGTTAAACTGGCCACCCATCACGAAAAGGGAAGACACTCTATAACAGACATGGGCAAACTTTAGCCCTTTAGGTGTTTTGGACTTCAACTCCCACAATTCCTAACAACCTCAGGCCCTTTCCTTTCTCCCCTCAGCCACTTAAGCAGCTGAGGGGGAAAAGGAAGGAGCCTGAGACTGGGTTGTTGTAGGTTTTTTGGGGCTATATGGCCATGTTCTAGAGGCATTCTCTCCTGAAGTTTCACCTGCATCTATGGCTAGCATCCTCAGAGGTAGTGACTACTTCTGAGGATGCTTGCCATAGATGCTGGTGAAACATCAGGAGAGAATGCCTCTAGAACATGGCTATATAACCCGAAAAAACCTACAACAACCCA